GAGAGAGAGAGAGAGAGAGAGAGAGAGAGAGAGAGGGAGGGAGGGAGGGAGGGAGGGAGGGAGGGAGGGAGGGAGGGAGGGAGGGAGGGAGGGAGGGAGGGAGGGAGGGAGGGAGGGAGGGAGAAGAGAGAGAGGGAGGGAGAAGAGAGAGAGGGAGGGAGAGAAAAGAGAGAGAGGGAGGGAGAGGGAGAAAGAGAGGGAGAGGAAGGGGAGACGGGGAGAGAGAGAGAGAGAGAGAGAAAAGAGAGAGAGGGAGGGAGAGGGAGAAAGAGAGGGAGAGGAAGGGGAGACGGGGAGAGAGAGAGAGAGAGAGAGAGAGAGAGAGAGAGAGAGAGAGAGAGAGAGAGAGAGAGAGAGAGAGAGAGAGAGAGAGAAATGATGCCCAGGTATCACAAGCCAAAACACAGCACACAGCAGCAGCCTGGCTGAACTGTAACAGGCCTGCAAATCTGTGGAGAGTGGATCAGCATGCTTCACCCAGTGGTGAACCCCACCTCTTAACTGGGGGTTGTCAGGAAACTTGTCAAGGGGCGCTGTCCCCAGTGGACTGCCATCTTTCCCAGAGTTCTGCCATGTCACTTTCCTTGTTACTTTGACTCCTGTGTGTGATAGTTTTTTTTTCACAGACAGCTTGGACTTCTGTGTGGCCACACTGGTGGTGACTAGAATACAGTCATTAGACTGGAGAGAATGTACATTCCATTTTTTTTCTTGTGCAAATCATAGAAATACTTGTTCCAAAAAAGTTGAGCAGTGAATAAAGCACCTTTTGGAAAGCACATTCCAGTGGGCAGCCCTGTGTGCTTCCCTCTGTGGAGCTGCATTCCTCTGTGCAGGGCCATCTGTGAAGAGCCAGGTGCTGGTAGGAGATGGTTATCCTAACGTGTATCTACTCTGCCTGGGCAGTAGACATTAGAACGGTTGATGACCCTGGCCTGGACACTGCTGGTGCAGGGCAGAACCTCTGGGGTATGAGTAGGCAACTTGCTTTCTTCATGTAGAGGCCATTCTTTTCTATACTTTGAGACACTGGCGTAGTCCTTAGTTGTAAGATAACCCCAGAGACTGTAAATGTTTCAGTCTACTGCATAAGGGGGTCATGACACATAACACTGAGCTAAAGACTGCCAGCTTTTTGAGAACAAGGGTTTAGAATTGTTCTTTCTTCTCACAACCATCAGTTTTACCACTGCTATTCATTTAAAGATATGGGCTCGCTGGGTGGTGGTGTATGCTTTTAATCCCAGAACTTAGGAAGCAGAGGCAGGCGGATTTCTTGAGTTAGAGGCCAGCCTGGTCTGTAGTGAGATATCCACCCGCCCATACCTGTAGCACTGACCACGCCCAAATGGGCATGGTCACAGGTGAGAATATGCCAGAGGGAGGACTAGCTCTCTCTTGCTTCTGGTGGGGTCACGGAGAACAGCTTGGGTGGATCCTTGGAGCCGGAACCTGCAGGGGTCACCTGCCTCTTGTGTAAGTGCATTCTCCCTGAATAAACTTCACTTAACCTGTGTAGTGAATCTTTGTGGGTCTACAGAGTGAGTTCCAGGATAGCCAGGGCTATTACAGAGAAACCCTGTCTCAGAAAACCAAAACAAAAAAGCATGTGGGCTTTGGATAGGCCTCTAATCAGTGACAGCCTCAAAGTAAGATAGACAGGAGCAGAGGAGCTGGTGTCGTCATCCATGACTCCCTGCTGTACAGGGAGCACAGCAACTCCAGGGTTTTATCCACTTAAGGAAAAACTCTTTTGAAAGACTTGAGGGATATGTTGGGGAAATAAGTCAGTTGGTAAAATGTTTGCCTTGAAATTATGAGGATGAACTGAGTTCAGTTCCCAGAATCCATATAAAAAAGCTGAGTGTTGATCTAGAGAGAGGACTGTTCTAAAGGATCCAGGTTCAGTTCCCAGCACCCACTTGACAGCTCACAAGAATCTGTAACTCCAGTGCCAGGGATTCTTCATAGATATACATGTAGACAAAACACTTTTATGAAGTTAATGATAGTAAAAACAAAAACTGAATGTGATTTAATCCCATCTCCAAGGAAGTGGAGATAGGTGAAACCCTGGGTTTTGCTAGCCAACCATCCTAACCTAGAGTTCCAGGCCAGGGAGAGATACTGTCTCAAAAAAAAAAAAAACAAGATTGGCAGCTCCTGAGGAGTGACGCCAAAGATTGACCCCTGCCCTCCACATTGTACACACATGTATGTGTACTCCCTATGCACCCACGCACAATATGCATTACAAAGTAATATAAATTGCAGCACTCAGAAGCCTTCAGAGGGAGGATCAGTATGTTCCAGAGCAATGTAAGCTACATAGTAAAACCTTGTCTCAAGCCAACAAATGCAAAGCTTTCCTTCCTTCCTTTCTCCTTGCACCCCCCTCCCCTTTTGAAACAGGGTCTCATGAAACCCAGGCTAGCCTCAAACCTTGAACTCCCAATCCTCTTCCTTCTGCTTCCTCACTGCTGCCACCATGCCTGGTTTCTGTAGAACTGGGGTGGAGCCAGGGCATGCTAGGCAAACTTCCCCGACCTCTCATTCTTGAGTTTATGTTCTGTTGTCCAGCTTAATGGTACCACAAAGTGGGAAGAAATCTTAAGTCAGTTGTCTTTGATTACATTTGTGCCCCATTCCTTTCATGGTGCTGCTTGTTAAATTATGGGATAAGACCATGTGATCTAGCATGCTTGTCAAGCTGACTTACAGAGCCAGCACCTTAGAGGTTCAGGATGAGCCTGTCACAGTGGCATCTGCTGTCAGAGGTAAAATGGATGATTAGGCCCATACATAGACACTTAGACTTTGCTAGGTGCTTAGCTAGAGTTAGGCTTGCAGAAGCCTTTTTTGGGGTGGATGTTGGTGCTTCTGTAGCTACAAGTAAACCCCATATCACCTAAGTGTCTCACAGATAGACACTGAAGAGGTCAGTGCATGAGCTGAGGGTCAGGTTGTGGGCAAGGGTGGAGTGGGAACTGTGGTTCCCTGGAAGTGGGTACAGGGAAGCTTTGGGGGGGGGCTAAGGGAGAAACAGCAGAGACCTGGAGTTCTCTCAAGAGGCTGGTCTCTCCCAGGGCTCTAGCAGGCCCTCTGAGAACTTGTGTGGGAGGGTTGTGATGGGCAGTTTGCACAAGCAGAGAGGTGCCTGTGTGTAGTGGGGCTGGGAGACTGGGTGTGTCCAGACTCTTCCTGACTTGACAATAGCTCTTTCTTCTTATCTTTCCCACCGATCACTTATGTCTTTTCCGGTAGGCAGTCATTCTTGTTAGGAAAACTTCATGAACGAGTGAGTACCCAGGGCCTTCCAAGTTCAGTTACACTATTTTGTGCAGCTTGAGCTTGTGAACATGAACACTGGAGCATTTGTGTTTCCTGCGCCATCAGCAGAAGGCCAGGAAATCCTGTAATGCAGCTGGCCATACTGGAGTGCACATGTTCCTCAGTGCCAGAACAGTCTAGCAAGACACTTTTCATTTCTGGTTTCTCACCTAGACCTTCCATTCATTCTGGAACACTTTCTCTGACCCAGTGCATCCAGTGGCATCCCTGATGTGAGCAGAAATGTTGACCCTATGCTCTTGCCTGCCAGCAGCTGAGACTGAGGTGTGTCATCAGTGTCTTCAGCATATGTTGCAATGTTGATCATCATGTCCTATATCCTCTTGGGGCTTCATGGCAGCTTTAAATACCTCCTCCCCCCCCCCCCCCCCGCAATGCAGTATCTGTCTTCAGGGTGAGCCTAGCAGGAAGACATCCAAAGCCGACTCCTATAGCAGTGCAGTTGCTCAGTGCAGGATGTCAAATTTGTCTTCAGAGCCACTTGTGTGTTCCTGCCCCTAATGCACAGCCTTGGGAAATGGTGTCACAGTATTCAGTATCTGGATGTTTCCTGAGACCTGCTAGCCTGTAAATATGAACTGGTTCTCAGTTGGTGACAAATATGAGACTGTGACAAGAATTATGTGTTTGGTCTTTGCCCTGGCCCATACCTTTTCATTCCTTGGATTCTCTAGAGTGGCAGGAACATTCTTTGTGGGTCACAATTGATTCTGGGTGCCCATGTTGTGTCATGTTGGGACTGGGTACCAGGAAGTTCAAGATAGCCTCAAGGATTCGGGGGAATCTCAATCCCACCCCTCCCTTGACCTCTAGGGATGTGAGATTGACTAGAGGATGTGATGGCATTAGCCTGCTTGAACCTTTACACCTCAATAAAAAGAAAAAGACAGGAACTGGTGTGGTGGCACATACCTTTCATCCCAGCACTCAGGAGGAAGAGGCAGGCAGATCTCTAAATTCAAGGCCAACCTGATCTACAAATGGATTTCCAGGACATCTAGAGCTACACAGATAAACCCTATCTAGAAAAACAAAACAAACAAGTAAAAGACAGGGTACAAGTATCCAGATAGCTTACCATGGGAGATGCCAGAGGGCAGTGGGCCTGAAGGGACATGGAGGTACCTTCTCCCACTTGCCTTGTTCTTGAGGCACTCTGGTCTGGTCATCATGGCCTTTATAATACAGTAGTGGGCAGGTGTAAGTCAGCACTCCCCTTGAGTTCTTTGGGCTACTCCAGCAAGTGACCCAGACCCAAGGAGGGGCCTGCAGGAAAGCTCATCATATAGGTCACAACCTGGAGTATGATGCCACCTTCAGAGGGCTAGGATATGCAGTCTTGTGGGGTGGAGCCCACCTGTGGGATCTGACGTTGTCTCTGGGTAGACCATGCAGAGTCAAATGGAATTGGGAACTCAGTCAGTATGTGTTGGAGAAACGCACTGTGTGTGAATACTCCCCTGCCTGCTGTGGGAAGTATTGAGTGGTGTGTGTGTGTGTGTGTGTGTGTGTGTGTGTGTGTAGAGGAGGAATTCCTTGGGTTTTCCTGTCTTCACTGGTCAGTGAGGCCAGCATTATATCATTTTACCAAAGAGCCCTGCCCTCGGGTTGGCATCAGTCTGTCAGGCCCACATTGCTGTAGACAGTGGTGCTTCCCACACTCACATGCTGTTTCGTTCTTAGTGTACCATTGCTGCCAGCATCACAAGGCATAGCCACTGCATTAGGACATGGCAGCAGGTTGGGAGGCACATGTCCAGAGACTAGCTTGGTGTCCCGCAGGCACAGCAGATGGTTCCTTTGCAAGATAGGATGTCACAGGATGTCCAGATAGCTCACCTAAAGGTTGGGTTGTCAAGCAAAGAGAGAAACAGTTATGATTACTCTATTGGGAGATTTAAATGGATGTGGTAGTGCTAGAGACAGGAGATAAATGTGTCCTACATGGAAACTTAGCTTGCAGCCAGAATACACTGTGTCACTTCTGACTCCTGCAGACCTGTGGATCTCAATCAGCCCAAAAGACATGTACAGCCTTTAAAAATCAGTGCAGTACCCTAGCTCTGCTGTAGGATGGGAATTAGTTGAGCATTCCTGCATTATTAGACAGATTCCACGTGCTGGCACACAACAGTTAACTCCAGCTCCTCATTAACCATAGTTCCCTCAGGAGCAACAACAAAAGATGTTGGCTTATCAGGAATGGCCACTTGCCAGGAGTGAGGAAGTGTCCCAACTGCTGAGCCCAGACCATTGGTTAGCCATAGGTGGGCCAAGGCCACACTAGGACTTTCAGGGCTGGCCTTACACAGAGCTGTTTTGGGTTAGGAGTCCAGAGTACATTCTCCTTAGCTGCTGATCTAGAAGTTGAGAAAAGAAAGTGTGAGCCCTGTGCTTGAAACTACTTCTGGCCCTCCTGTTCCAGGATCTGCCTGACTGTTTTGTTTCTTGTCTTCTGTGTGTACTGTGCTGACCACACAACAATGAGTCCACATTCAGGTTTTTTGTTTGAATATTTATTTTTATTATATGTGTATGAATATTTGCTTGTGTGTATGAAAGTACACTGTGTGCATGCTTGGTGCCCCCAGTGACCAGTGAGTGCCGGATCCTTTGGAACTGAGAGTCTCTAAGGATAGCTGTAAGTCACTGTGTGGGTGGGTGCCGAGAACTGCCTAGGGCCTCGTTGAGAGCAACCAGAGCTCTTAACTGCTGAGCCATCTCTCTAGTCCCTCATAGTCAGGTTTTGGTGGGTCAGTTTAGGTCCTGTCAGACTCCTCAGCATGCAGCCAGGACAGAGCCAGCTCCAGAAGACAACCCAGGCCTGTGACTGATGATGAGCCAGCATCTAGTGCAAGTTGAGAGAGAAGCTGAGACTCTTGGGTTCTGAGGGGTGCCAAATCTTCAGAACAGTTTGAGATATTACACCCTAAATCCAGGCCATTCTTGAAATTTTCTTCTTAGCACAGATCAACTATGGCAACTGCAGTGGTTCCTAGAGTTATAGCACCTGGTGCTACATGTGTCAGCAGACTCTAGTTTGGAGAAAAGGCTGCTGCCACAACGAAGGATGGCCTGAAGAAACTTCAGTGGCTTCATCTTCATGAATGACAAAGTCAGTTAGTGTATCTCTAGCAATTACCTGGGTCCCCCTAGGAGTCACAGTGCCACACAAAGGGTTGATGGGCTTCTGTAGCAAACTTTCTTTGACTGCCAGCTCCCAAATTGTGATGTGGAAACTTATTAGCCTAGAATGCTCGGCCTTATGCTTGTCCCATAGCCCGTATAACTTAAATTAACTGTTACCCTTCATCTTTGTCTTGTCTAAGAGCTTTTTACTTTTCTTTCATTTTGTATGTCCTACTCCGTGTCTGGATGGCTAGCTGACAACTGCCTGGCTGGCTGGCTGACTCTAGGTGTCTCTCTCTCTTTCTCCCTCTTCTCTCTTTGTTCCCACCCCTAGCCCAGATTCCTCCTCCTATTTATTCTCTCTGCCTACCAACCTCTCCTATCCCTCTACTGCCTAGCTATTGGCCATTCAGCTTTTTATTAGACTAGTTAGGTGCCTTAGCCAGGCAAGGTGAAACAGCAACACATCTTTATATAATTAAACAAATACAGCATAAATAAAAGCAACACATCTTTACATAAACAAATGCAGCATAAATGAATGTGTAGCACACCTTTACATAGTTAAAGTAATATTCCACAACAAGCCTCCTGCTAAGCTAATGGACTAGCAATGCCACCGCCTGGCAGTCAAGTGGCTCACGTGAGTCATTCTCATGAGATTGTGTAGTCTTGGACCCTGGGTAGAATGAGGAATCTTTGCATGCATTCTATAGGTAAATAAGTCTGAAGGAGGAATTTGTGTGGCATACCCAAGATCAGAAAGGCCTGTTTCCAAAATGGAAGCGCAGCAAGCTACCCGGGGAGCTTTCAAAGCAAGCCAGGTGTAACCATCAGAAGTGTTGACTCAGGAGGTTGAGGCCTAGGAATTTGTAGGTAGCTTTTCTATACAGGGCATCTCTACTGTGTAGGCTGTGTCCTGTCACCTGAAAACCTGGAGTTGGTATGGTCTGCTGAAACCAGAGCCCATTCAGGTGGTGTCATATTTCTACCAGCCAGCATCTCCTTTGAGGATGGTATCTTTTGTGCCATTGCCATCACTTGGGCATTGCACACTGGTTTGGCAGACCTGATGGCAGGTGTTGTGCTATGGACCTGGGCTTCTGCCTGCTGGAACACTTAGACTAGCAGAAAGGTGCATGTACTAGGGGCTGGGAGCCTAGCTTTACTAGTGCCCAGCAGAGGAAGTTGAGGAAGGCCTCTGTACTAAGTGCCAAAACTTTGATCTGCAGGGTGGCAGCAGCTGCTCTGTGAGTGGGTAGATCCATGAATCTGAGGCAGAGGACAATATGAGGTGATGTTCAGAAGAGGGGCAGAGACATTGCGAAGGAATGTGGGCTTCCCTGTGGCAGCATGCTGACTGTGAGGCAGTGATTACTGCTGGACTCACTGGTGCTCTGTACTTGGAAGGCTTGTGCTAACTGGCAGTGAGGGTTACTAAGGGACCTGTGCAAATGCTTGGGTTACATGTTTGGTGGCATTGAGGTATCACTGCTTTTCACTAGTACGAAAGGAGCTTGGGCATTGACCCTATGCTGCAGGGCCTTCTTGAAAGAATCTAAGCAAAGGAGTCTCAGGTTTTGTTTGTTTCAGAAATAAGACGACATATTTGAAAGAAGGGAGACCCAGGGAACTAGGTGGGTTCGTGTGGACCAAACAGACATGGTGGCCTGATGGAGGAGCTAGGCTCTGGGAAATAGATGGTTCCAAAAGATATGTATAGGAGGCGCATTCAGCCATAGGGGTCCCCAGTGGCAGGTGATGGAGGGAGTGGAAGGAGGTGACATGCTGTCCAAGCATCTGACCTGTATGGGCTTAGAAGGAGCTGGCAGCAGGGCAGGAAGAAGTGATGAACCCAGTATGAGAATGGGTGGAACCTTGTGAGATGGTTCCAAATAATAACCAAATAGAGATGAGTGGGTACAGGACTGGAGGTGAGACAGGCAGGCACGCCAGAGTCACCTGTGTTCTAAAGTGACAAAAGCAAGAAATGGGGAGCCTGGATGACTCCTGGCAGCCCTTGCTCTCTAGCAGGCTAGATCAGGTGGGGATGGAAGCTGGCTCATACCCTCAGTGGAAGCTGTATTGGCCAGAACTCTTCTGGGGGAGGAAGTGGAGCTGAAGCCAGGCTGCACAGATGGTAAGGACAAAAGTAGGGCTTTCAGGCCAACCCTGAGCAAATTGTTCCTCCAAGTGACCAGTCCCTATTGCCATGCCATTGAGCTTCCACCCTGTTCTCAAAGGGGACACACTTCCTCTCTTTCTCTTAAAAAAAAAAGACTTTATTTTATATATTATTTGTGTATGTGTATATATACACATGCGTATCTGAATGAATATGCATGTATATCCTATGGCACATGTGTGGGAGTCAGAGGACAACTTTCAGGAGTCAATTTATCTTTCCACAGTGTTCTGGGTGTGTTGTGCTTGTATAGCAAGTGCTTTTACACATGAGCCATCTTGCTGGCCCTTTTTCTAATTTTAAGGTAAACAATCCATACCATGCCACGTGGAGATAAAACGGTTACTTTTAGCACCTTCACTGGCTACAGGAGATCACAGTACTAGCAGTTCAAGTGAATTTTTCTTTTTTTGGTTTTTCGAGATGGGATTTTTCTGTGTCTTTGGAGGCTGTCTTGGAACTAGCTCTTGTAAACCAGGCTGGTCTCGAACTCACAAAGATCCATTTGCCTCTGCTTCCTGAGTGCTGGGATTAAAGGCGCCTGGCTCAAGTGCATTTTTCTGTAGTTGATCTGAATACAAAAGGAGAATAGTATGTACTTGCTTTCACCAAAACAGGCCTTCCTAGTGAGATGTTAAGGTTAAGTGTGGACTTTACATAAGTTTTCAGGTAGAGAAATGGGAAACGAACTAGACATGCTAAAACTTAAGACAAAATTGTATATGTCTTTTGAGACAGGTTCTCTCCCTAGCCCAGGCTGTTTTCACAGCAATGCACCTCTATATTCAATGTGTGTGTTTTAACCTGCTTCTGATGCCCAGCTGTTGACAAGCTGTTGCTTCTGTGGCCATGTGGCTCTGGGCAGGTCCTAAAAGGCTGTAAATCGTAGGCCAGATTGTGTTAGATAGAATTATGGATAGTTGTCGGCTGTCAAATAAATGCTCTTAATTGCTGAGCATTCTCTCCTATTCCCGGACTTAGATTTTAAAGAATGACCCAAACCTTCAATGGCTATGATGTCTGTTAAATATGGCGGTATCAGTAAATAGCTTGGGTTTGCAGAACCACTGTGCATGGCACCTTGAGTGGCGAAGAACACAGTTTCTGTGTGCACATGGTCTTGGAGCCTGCTGTTCTTTTTCATTGGTCATAACCTGGGCCTGGAGAGGTGGCTCAGCAGTTAATACTTGCTGCTCTTAAAGAGGACTCAGGTTCAGTTCCCAGCACCTACATGGCACCTGACAGTTGTTTGGAACTCCAGTTCCAGGGAATCTGATGCACTCTTCTGGCCTCCACAGGCATTGGGCACATTAGTGGCACACAGACAGACATGCAGGCAAAATGCTTACATACAGATATTAATAAATCTTTTAAAAATATAAGTAGCATATTTGGGTTGCAGTATTTTAAAAAAGGATTTATCACTTATTTTTGTAAGCTGCCATATAGATGCTAGGAAGTGAACTTGCATCTTCTCCAAGTGCTCTTAACAGCTAGGCCATGGTCATTCTCTGTTTGCTTGTGTGTATGTATGGGCAAGTCTGTGTAAAGGCCATGTACAACTGCAAGTGTCATCCACCTTGTCTTGTCTTTCTTGGTTTGGGCTGGCCAGTGATACTAGACTAGCCGGCCAATGAGCCCCAGGGATCCTCTTGCTTCTGCCTTCCTCGCACTGGGCTTAGAAACAAAGGCCAGTGCACTCAACCTTTTTTTCTTTTTTAACAGGTTCTCAGGATCAAGTGCAGGTCCTCATGCTTGTGCAGCAAACACTCTACAAATTAAGCCATTGCCCTAGCTTGTTGTTATTATTATTATTATTTTAAGACAAGATCTAATGTAGCCCAGGTTGGCCTCAAACTCATTAAATTGCTGAGGATGGTCTTGAACTCTTGATCCTCCTGCTTCTTTTCCTAAATGCTGGGTTGACAGGAATATGTCACTGCACCTGGTTAAAGTTAATTTGCTTCTAAGAGGAAAAGGGCATGTGTAGAGTTTGGACCCTGTGTAGTAGTGATGTGTAGATCCCCCTACTGCACATGGCTGAGGGTCTTGTAGGTTTTTGTGCAGCAGGGATACAAGCAGGGATGTGGTTTTGGAGTCTGCAACTTTGGAATTTCCTGCCTAATGTTTATCTAAACTCATAAATTTGCTTTGATAACATTTCTAGTTGTTGGATCCTTTTGAACAAAGAGAAAGTTTTTTTTTTCTTTGAGTAAAATGATGTTAAGTTTTGTGAGTTTGGACTATTGAGTTTATGGTAAACATGCATATATAACTAGAATAACAGAAGTAAGTATATTCCTTTTGTGTTGAAAGGATACATGGAGCCAGCTATGGTGTCGATACCACCTTTAATCCCAGCACTCAGGAAGCAGAGGCAGGTGGAGCTCTATGAGTTGGAGTTCAGCCTGGTCTACAGAACTAGTTCCACGACAGCCAAGAATGTTATGCAGAGAGGGGAAATGAGGGGGGGAGGGAGAGAGAGAGGCAGAGAGATAGACAGAGAGGGAGGGAGGGGACATATCAGAAGCAAATAGAAGAATGAACGCAGCTTGGGCATCTTAAAACAAGTCTGTAGCAAACATCTGAGAAAGATGAAGGCCCACTTGGGAGGCTGTAGTAGAAGAGTCATAAGTTCTAGGTCAGACTGGGCTACCTAGTGAGACCCTGTCTTAAAAGAAAAGAAAAGATGTGCTGCTGCGAAATGGAGCAATGCCAGATGATGATACAGGATGTAGGCTTGAAAAGGGATGAGGGCGTCTGCAGGTCATCCTCCCTCATCCAGGCAGTAACAGGCCCGCCCGCATCTTATGCAGTTGCTTCCATGTCCTTTTGCTGCACCTGATGCATTGTGGTATTTGTTGAATTTGAACCTCAGACAATAAGATACTGACATTTGTCCTTCCCTACCCAGTCTGAAATCCTGTGAATCCTTCCTGCTGCCATTGCAGCTGTGTGTCCATCCTCCTCTTGCCTTCATGCCACTGTGTGCTGGAAGGCCATACTGTACATCCCAAACTCAAGCTATCTCTATTCCCAAAGGAGTTTGGTAGCCTGCCTCCCCAATCTGGACCTGTGCCCACCTTCTCTTTTTTCCTTACTTTGGTTTTGGTCTGGGTTTGTCTTTCCCCTCAGCTTCTTGGTTGTCTTCACGATGCCTAAGATTCTTGCCATCTGCAAGTAAGAGTTCCATCTTGTAGAAGGCTGCGGTCTGTATGTAGCCTCTGTGGTGTTTGTCCTTAATTTGCTTCTGGGACTAACTTCACTGTTGTACTGTTTCTTTCAGTTCAGTTACCATGGCACAGAACTACTGTTGTCACCACACCACAGTCATCATTGACCTCTGTCTCATCACCCACTGCTATGATGGGTCAGCCTACTTGATCTGCCAGCTCCAGTGTCTTAGCTGATTTTGCTTCTACCTCACTGACATCCAGGTCTTTTGTTGGTGCACCTACATTTCAGGCTGTCCGGGACTTAGCTCCTGTCCTTGTGCTGATCTCCTGTTCCTGAATACACCAGGAGCCCTAACTGGGAGTTGCAGCCCCCTCTCTGACACTGCTGTCTGCATATCTTAAATATGACACGTCCATTCCTCTCCCTTCAGAGCATGCTCTGTCCTGTCACCTCACTTTGTAGAGTCTTGAGACATCTTTGGCCAGAACCCCTGCCTCTTGACCTACAGCACCAGGGTCCACTGTGTCCCCCTCCCCACCTTCTCTGTGCTCTTCAGAACCAGTTTCAGGGCTTCCTTTAAAGTCCCAAGGGCTGCAGCATGTGCTATTGCCATATGAACCTGTGTTTAGCCTCGGTGTTCTTGGTCTCCCTGGCCAAGCTCCTGCTGCCTGGGTTACCAAGGTTACTTACTGTTCCTGCAGGAGAATCTCTAGTTTTTTCTGAGTGTCAGACATTGATAAGTTAAAATGGTTATTTGCTTCACACAGTCATAGGGCGCATGGTGGGGGAGGGGAGGATGGCGGGGACAAACTATCCCCAGCTCCTCATTGACTATCATACTCTTTCAACCATCTCCTCTGTCTCCCTCAAGCCACTCTCCTAGAGATAACTCTTTTCATTGTTGACTGTCTTCACCCACTGTCTGTGCGTGGCTTAGGCCTTGGGGCGCAGGCAAGCGTTTCTGGGCCAGCCTGATGAATCCAGAGCAGGTGACTGGTAGTCAGTTGGCTCTGAATGGCAAAGGCCCAATGTAGATGTGATTTGAACACACGACCTCTCTGCGCACCCCCCCTGTGCCCCCAAGACAGGGTTTTTCTGGCTGTCCTGGAACTCATGAATACCAGGCTGCCTGCCTGAGTGCTGGGATTAAAGGCATGCACCACTATTGCCTGGCTCACATGACCTGCTTTTAAAAGTAAAATTGTCGAACAACCAGTCTTTATACTTTGAATATCTCTTTTGTTCTGTATCAGTATGCCTCTCTGTTCCTTTAAAAAGCCTAGAGAAATAGCAGGTGCATTACTTCAGAGTAATTATTTCAAAGGGATGGGCTCCACTGAGAAACTGTCAGGGGCATGTGGACTTATACTCATGTGGGTTTATATTCAATGTGTCCCTGGTGTCCTGAACAGTCAGTAGATAGTGTGAGGAGTGCTCTGGGGCAGCACTGAAGATGGTTAGCCCTCTGGAAGCTCTCCTCACCTCTCTGCAAAAAGTTTGTCTTGTGGAAAATAAATTTTTAAGGTTTGGCTTTGAACCCACGTTCTGCCTAAAAAGACTATGAAGTACCCCACAGACAGGTCAGGCCAAGCAGTAGGCTTCTGGGTCTTTTTCTTTTCTGTCTCCAGTGGTCCTAAGTCACATCTTCAGTCACTAAAAGTGTGATTACCTGCTCTGTTCTGGTCTTCTGAGGTTGCTGAGGAGGTGGGCTTGGATTACACTATGGCCACTGGCCATGACTGGGACACAGGGGGAGGGAAGGCTTGAGGACTTGGTGAGGGTCTGGGTTATTAGGGAAGCCTGGAGATAGGCCAGTCAGTCCCCCTTTCCCTGGAGGATCAGAGACTCTTCTCGTGTATTTTAGTGGGTGGGGACAGTGAAGGCTCTTGGGGTCTTTCCTCTTTTTCTGTTTGCTCATGAATTCATTCAGTCTTGTTGCCCTCTAGGAGTTTGCTGCGCTCACAAAGGAACTCAACGTGTGTAGGGAGCAGCTTCTGGAGAGGGAGGAGGAAATCGCTGAGCTGAAGGCAGAGAGGAACAACACCAGGGTCAGTCATGCCTTATGTCTTTCCCACTCTGCAGAGTTGGACCATCAGCCCCTTAGGCACCATGGGACCTTAGCAGGTTTTAATTCAGCCTAGGGGACTGCCCTGCTTGTGCTGAGTTGAAGCCATCTTCCCTTGCTGTGGGGTGGAGTGCTTACCTATGAGGCAAGCACTTTATTGTCTGCTGGACTCTGTTGCAGCTGCTGTTGGAGCACCTAGAGTGCCTTGTCTCCAGGCACGAGCGCTCTCTGCGAATGACAGTGGTGAAGAGGCAGGCACAGTCACCTGCAGGCGTGTCCAGTGAGGTGGAGGTGCTGAAAGCGCTGAAGTCACTATTTGAGCACCACAAAGCCTTGGATGAGAAGGTACCATCACCACACTGACAGCTGTATGCCTGTCTGGAGGGCTTCATGGCTGCTGAGGTCACTGTGGTCACTTGTTTTATAACTTCTGGAGCTCCTGTGAAAATCTTTTCTCTCTTAGAAGGCACTGACTTATGTGGCTGATGAGTGTCCTTGCCTTGAATGTCTTAAAAGTTGTAAAAATTTTTCTATTAATGTGCTAATAAGATTTGGGACCTAGTATAATTCCTAAAGCCTGTAATCCTAGCACTTGTGGGGCAAGGAAGATTGCTGAGAATTCACAACCAGCCTTGGCTACATAACATAGATAATACTATGCAGCAAGATTCTATATCAACCTTTTCCTCCACATCAAAAAAGCAAATAATAACTTAGTGGTCTGATTTATTTAGCAACAGGATTTTGCCAAATTGTGAAACACACACACACACTCTCTCTCTCTCCCTCCGTCCCTCCGTCCCTCCGTCCCTCTGTCCCTCCCTCCCTCCCTCCCTCCCTCCCTCCCTCCCTCCCTCCCTCCCTCCCTCCCTCCCTCCCTCTCTCCCCCTGTGCTTAGAAGACTGAGGCAGCAGGGAGGGGTTCACAAGTTTCATTCAGTCTTGCTCAAAACAGCCTCTGGATGTTCTTGGTGGCAGTAGAAAGCCAGTCTGTATTCTACTAATGCTATAGTGCATTGGTCATGCAGCAGGAGTCCAAGTGCACACTCAACCCTTCACTTGCAGGTACGAGAACGACTACGAGTAGCTCTGGAGAGGTGCAGCTTGTTAGAGGAGGAGCTGGGTGCTACCCACAAAGAGGTGAGCTTGAGGTATTGTCATGGAGTCGGAACTGAAGGGGTTTGATTATTATTGCTTAATTTAAAAGAATGAGACAGTAATAGACCCCAGAAGTTACTGCTTTTCCTAGTGTAGATCAGCTGCTGGGGTCACTGGACTCAGTCTTAGCCCTTAGCCTCTTCCAAGTGCCTCTCTGTCTGAAGATGACACATGGTTTCTAGAACTCTGCCAGAGTCTTTGGCTGCACAGCAGTTATAGCCACTTGTCCCCCAAAGCCACTGGCCACCTTTGCTCATTTCTCTTACGTAAAGATCTTACACCAGTGTGTTAAAATTTTCTGTTTTAGCTAATGATTCTTAAAGAACAGAATAATCAGAAGAAAACACTAACGGATGGAATGCTCGATGGAAACCACGAACAGGAAAACACACCAAGCACCAACGGCAAGGCAAGTCCTTGGCTTTTTTTCTGTGGGGGTGGGCCGTTGGGGAACAGTGTCCTCTAAGGAGCGTGCGGGTTCCTCTGAGGGTCCTTGTTTTTCTGGAGGTATGCCAAACAGGGTGCCATAAGACTGTGCTTTTCAGAGGTCTTCTGATGGTTCCTTGAGCCACGAGGATCTTGCCAAAGTGCTGGAGCTACAGGAAGTCATAGACAGGCAGGCAAGAGAGCAGAGCCAGATGAAGGAGCGCCTAGCCTCCCTGTCCAGTCATGCAGCGGAGCTGGAGGAGGATTTGGACACAGCTAGAAAAGACCTCATCAAGTCTGAAGAGATGAATACAAAACTGCAGCGAGATGTCCGTGAAGTGAGTGCGGGGTGCACTTGGCTTCCTGTTCCCTTTGTCTTTTACTCTTATTCTCAGGGACCTTTGGGATACAGTTCATGTGCTCTTCCCTCCTGCACTGCCCTCATGTGGGGATCACATGCCTCCATGACTGCTGGCTCCTATAGGGTGCTTTTCCTTGTGTTCTGTTCCTTCTGACTTACCCACAGAGCCCACAAACATGCTGTCAATTATGCTTGAGTACTGAGGTTGCTACACTCTGGTCATCAGGATCTTTATGGAAATATGTATTTATATATTCACCTCCCAACCATTTTTCCTCGGTAACTGTTTATAAGGCCCTCATTGATCATTAGAAACAAAAGGAGAGCTGTGTGCTGTCTTGTAAAGCTCTTTCTGTCCCATCTGAACATGTCTTTTGTTACCTCATGAGACCCTTACCTTTTAACATGTGTGACACCTGGGCACTTTAGTTGTGGAGATGAATATGATTTGTTGTAAGAATTCATACCAAAGGAAACACTGCCTGTATTATAGAACCTACCAAGTTGTGCTTTTCTTGGGCCACAGGGAATTATTTATGTGGCAGAAAATTATATTTTTTTATTTTAATTTTTACTTGTTTATTTTGTTTTTTGAGGCAGGGTTTCTCTGTGTAACTTTGGAGTCTATCCTGGAACTCGCTCTGTAGACCAGGCTGGCCTCGAACTCAGAGATCTGCCTGCTTCTGCCTCCCGAGTGCTGGGATCAAAGGCGTGTGCCACCACTGCCCTGTGGCATTCTTTTAAGATTTGTTTCTTCAAGAAATATATTAAAGATTGCCATCAATTACTAAAAATAGGGAAAGAGCTAAAAACCGAATTTGGGGATGGAAGACAAATAATGAACATGACAAAAGTTCTGGTCCTGGTCTTCAGAGATGTTTGGGGTTTTTGTAACGTTGTCTTTGCTGCTGACTTTTGTTTCATTGTTAACATGTTTGAGCTTTGCAAGTTTCTCCAGTTCTCACCTGAGAGAGCAATTCTGCCCCCAGTGCTATATGAGCCTGGGTGTTTGTTGGTGGGCAGACACAGGTTACGTACACCTTTACCACAGATGCCTTCAGATTCTTGC